CTGCCTGAAACTAGGGGGTGCCCACTTCTGCCCCGAGCAGCCGGAGAGAGAAACACCTCGGCGAAAAGGAGCGCGGCCTGACTTAAGCAGGATCGCGCTGGGCGGCGCCGCCTCTGCCCGGCCGGCCGCGCGGGACTCGCTTCTTACGTAAGCCGGGAGCCGGCTCCTGGCTACAGCCGCCGAGCCCACTCCTCTCCCTTCCCGGCGCGTCCGGACTAGACTGAGGCTGCGGGGGCGAACGGAGATGGAGACGCCCTGAGAGAAAGGAACCGCCTGGGGACCCAGTCTATTGTCAAAGGGAAGGGAAAAACACAACTTGTTGAGCGCCTACTCTGCGTCCAATTCTAGGCTGTGTGATATTATTATGCAACCTTTGCAGGTACTGATGGAGAAAGGCTTGGAATACGAACCATTCATACACTTAGCAGTATTGAGTGGTCTTCTTGTTTTAATCCTTGTGGGGGGAATCGAACCCCCTGAGACTATCTCTTAAGCCAGGATATCTTACACCAGTATTCACAGCAAGTCCTGGAAAGAGAATAAAAAGTTGTGGGCGGGCCTGAACTACTGCTTACTGATACCGGTTCTCAAAAAAAAAAAAAAAAAAAAAAAAAAAAAAAGGAAACATCAAAGCCTGGTGGTAGCAGCCCACGCCTTCAGTCCCAGCACTTAGAGTTCGATTTCCAGGACAGCTAGAGCTATACAAAGAAACCCTGCCTCAAAAAACCAAAAAGAAAGAAACACCTCTCTTGTGTGCCTAACGCTATTTTGTGTGTTGGGTATACAGCAATAACAAGTGTTCTAATCCTGCCCCCATAGTTGCAGCCGAGGTTTTGAACCCTTGACTGGCTCCAAAGCTGGAAATGAGGAACAAAAGGATGCCTTTCGCTTGTGCACCGACCTATAGCCAGATGATTCCAAGGCTTCTGTGCCCAGGATGTGTTATTCCCAACTCTTTCTTTACTCACCAACTCAAATGGAGGCTTTCTTTTCCTTGCCCCTCACATATACCAAGCCATGCTTCTTCATGCCTCTGCCTTTGTTTTGTTTTGAGTGAGGGTTTCACTTTGTAGCCTAGGCTGGTGTTGCACTCACAATGCTCTTGCCACAGCTTTCTTAATACCAAGATTACAGGAATGGGTCACCAAGCCCTTCTGCCTCCTCTTTCAATTCTGTTTCCAAGTTACATGCAAGCCCTCAATTTCCCACCCTAAGTCCTGGGAGAATCTCCTGCAAATCTGTCTTCTGCACCCTTCTCTTACTAGGAAGACTGCTAAAGGAAAAACCCATTTTCACTACTTGCCCACTCTGGTGTGTCCCGCCTCCCTTCCTAAGGTTCCTGCCTCCCTTTCGAGAATGTTTTGCAGAGCTCTCACCGGTGCTCTCTGTAACTGAGAGGTGGTGAGGAGCAGCACCACGGCAGGGGCATCGTGGGAAAGAGGCTCCTCTAGATTCCTGGCAGTTGTGTGTTGTGGAGGCAGGAGACAGAGCCTGAGATGGTGTCTTGCCAACCCAGCTCCCCTCCTTGCCATTTCACACACAGCTGTGGCAAGACAACACACTCAGGCCAGCAACCCCTGGGCCAACATTTGTTCCATAGACTCATTTCCTAAAATATCCCAGTGTGCTACAGACCTTATTCTGAACTCCTTCGGTGAGCCTTTTGCTGAAGAACAAAGGAAACACCAAAGCTGGGTGGTGAAGGGGCTTAAATCTCTCATATTCCTGACATATGTATGTGATAAACAGCTGATAGTTCTTTACAATGATTGTTAGATACGAGCACACATCATATCCACCTGGAGAGCTTGTTAAAACATGTTGCTGTGGGCCAGGGAAGTGGCTCACTTATAAAAGGCTTGCCACAAAAGCATGATGACCAGAGTTCAGTCCCCAGCACCCATGTATAAAAGACTGGGTACAGTGCTGGGAGATGGAGACAGGAGGATTCCTGGGGCTTATTGGCCAGCAAGTCCATCCAGATAGGTGAGTTCTGGGATCAATGAGAAAGAAACCGTATCTCAAAATATAAGGGGATCCACCGTCCCTCAGTCCACTCAGCAGGATGGCTCTGACAATTTCTCCACATGATGATGGTGCCTTTGACGGGGAATTCAACTGCTTGCTGCTTGTCTCCAGGGAACCTCGAGAAGACAATTCACAAACAGAAGTGCTTTTTGGAGAAAACAACATGAAACTGTTCACTGTGACATAATTTTGAAGTAACACAAACCTGATTTTATCTCTTTAAAAAGCCCAGTAGGGGCTTGGCATGGTGGCTCACAATTTTAATCCTAACACTGGGAGTAGTTCAAGACCAGCCTTCCAGGACAGCCAGGGCTACATAGTGAGGCCCTCCCCGACCTTCTCCCTCTCACTCACACATACACACAGCACAGTACAGGGGTAGAGAGATGGCTCAACAGAGTACTACCTGCTCATTCAGAGGACCCAGGTTCCATTCCCTACACCCTCATGGCAGCTCACAACCATCTAACTCCGGTTCCAAGAAGCACTTCCAGGACCTCCTCAGGTACCAGAAATGTATGTGGTACACAGACATACATGCAGGCAAAACGTCCATCTACATAAAATAGATTTTAAATAAAATTGTGGGCCGGGAGTTGGTGGCACACGCCTTCAATCCCAGTACTTGGGAGGCAGAGGCTGGCGGATCTCTGAAGTTCGAGACCAGCCTGGTCTACAAGAGCTAGTTCCAGGACAGCCTCAAAAGCCACAGAGAAACCTTGTCTCAAAAAACACTAAATAAATAAATAAATAAATAAATAAATAAATAAAATTGTGAAACCTAACAGGAAGTTTACTTTTTGTTGTTTTTTGAGACAGGTTCTCTATGTAGCCCTGGACAGCCTGGAGTCACTAAGACCAAGCTGGAAAAGAACTTACAGAAATCCACCTGCCTCTGCCTCGAAGTGCTAAGATAAATATTGGGTTTATACTTCTGTTGTTAAAATTGGAAGAGTGGGTAGGTGTAGTGGTCCATGCCTTTAATACTGGCACCAGAGAGGCAGAGGCAGGCAGATCTCTGTGAGTTCCAGGACAGCCAGGGCTACACAGTGAGACTCTTATCTCCAAAACAAAGGAAGGTGGGTGGCAGGTAAAATAAAGATTTTTTTTAAATTTTATATGTATATGTGTGAGTGTATGTGTGTGTGACATATGTGTGCATGTGCCCTCAGATTCAGGAAGTGGGTATTAGGTTCCCCAGGAATTAGAATTAAAGTCAATTGTGAGCCATCTGATGTGTGACCTGGATATTAATCCAGGTCCTCTGTAGGAGTAGCAAGTACCTTTTATTGCTGAGCCATCTCTCTAGTCCCAGGAGAAGCAAGTAAATTGTTAATGGATGGTAAATATGTTGCTTGGACTGTTAAAAATAATAAGGTAGAGTGTATTTCTTGAAAGTAACCAGCGTCAACTTCTGGCTTTCCCATATATGTGCACACACTCATGAATATACAGCATCTGTAATAAATTATACCATGCCAGGACAGTTTATTCCACTATTTACTGAGAAGTCTCAGGGCTCTTCTGATTTCTTTTTATATGAAGACCACATCTTTGAAATGGTCATCTTGTACCACTGAACTTGCTCTTTTTAATTTATTTTCTTATTTTGTGTGCTTGTGTTTTTATAGGAGATGTACACAAATGACATTCACATGCATTAGGCCAGGGGACAGCCTGCAGGCATCACCCTTTTCATTCCACCATTCCAGGGGGCCGACCATAATGGTCTGAACCAGCTCTCTTTTCCATTTTTTGAGACAGTGTCTCACTATGTAGCTCAGGCTATCCTATATCTCACTATGTAGACCAGGCTGATCTCAAACTCACAGATCTCCTCCTGCCTCGGCCTCACAAGTGCTGGGATCAAAGGTGTACACCACCTCACCCTATTACCATCTCTTATTTGTGCTAAATATTCTGAATCACCATCCTTATATGATGGAGTACTCTGCTAGAAAGGGACGCAGGCATTCTTTTGCTGCAACAATTACCAGAAAGTATACTCCATATAATTTACAGTTCTCCCTTAATGGTATAGTAACAGTGACCTCCTTGCACCCTGTATTACTATGCTTTACCCTAGACCTCACTGTGAACTCTTG